GTCTGTCTGTCCTAGATGCCTGGATTCTCAGTGTGCGCCTGTGTGTGTTTGTGTGTCTGTGTCCTGAACATCCGTGTGTGTGTGCATGTGCCTGCATGTGTCCCAGACACCTGGGCTTTCGGGGGGGGGTGTATGCACATCTCAGATGCCTGGGTTATGGGGGGGGGGTAGACGCACATCCCAGGTACCTGGGTTCTCACCATGTGTGTGCATGGCCCAGACACCCAGGTTCTCATTGCGTGTCTCCATGTGAATGTGAGTGTCAGTGCACGCGTGTGTCCAGAACACAGGTTCTCAGCGTGTGTGTGCACACACCCAGGTGCACCCGGCCAGACACCCTCAGCGCCCCCCGTGCCCAGGAGTGTGGACCGCTCAACATGGCCAGGGGGTGCGCCGGCTCGGGGTCACGCATGTGCGTGCACCAGGGAGAGCCGTGGCTTGTGTGCGTGCATGTCGGGGCATGTGCTGGGCCCTCTGCGTGCTCTTTTGCACTAGTGTGTGCTCACAGCCGCGCTCCCCCATGTCGCAGCCCAGGCTGCAGGGGCCGTGGGCAAGGGGGGCCTGTTGCCAGCTGCCTGGGGAAGGTGGGGCAGGGACTGGGGGTAGTACTGGGGCAGGGGCGTCAGCACAGGGCAGGAGAGCTGTGAGGGGCTTTGCTCTCCCGGAGGGGCTCCAGGGGGTCTCTCTGACCCCCCTCTCCCTTACCCCCCCAGGCAAAGGCCCCGAGACGCTGTTCGCGGGGCACAAGCTGAACGACAACGAGTGGCACACGGTGCGGGTGGTGCGGCGCGGCAAGAGCCTGCAGCTCTCCGTGGACAACGTCACCGTGGAAGGTACCGGGGGCGAGGGGCGCCGGCAGGCCTGGGAGGCTGTGGGTGGGGAGCGAGGGGCCCCGGCATGGCCGGGGGCAGCAGGGGCTGGCTGTGACCCCCCTGGCGCCGGCCCGCAGGGCAGATGGCCGGGGCGCACACCCGCCTGGAGTTCCACAACATCGAGACGGGCATCATGACAGAGCGGCGCTTCATCTCAGTGGTGCCGTCCAACTTCATCGGGCACCTGAGCGGGCTGGTGTTCAACGGGCTGCCCTACATGGACCTGTGCCAGCACGGCGACATCGCCTACTGCGAGCTCAACGCCCGCCTGGGCCTGCGCGCCATCGTGGCCGACCCCGTCACCTTCAAGAGCCGCGGCAGCTACCTGGCGCTGGCCACGCTGCAGGCCTACGCCTCCATGCACCTCTTCTTCCAGTTCAAGACCACGGCACCCGACGGCCTCATCCTCTTCAACAGCGGCAACGGCAACGACTTCATCGTGGTGGAGCTTGTCAAGGGGTGAGCGCCGCCCCCAGGCTCCTAGCCACGCCCCTTTGCTCCAAGCCCTGCCCCTATATTCCAAGCTGTCTGCAGGCCACGCCCCCAGCCTCCAAGCCACACCCTCTGCCCAAACAGTGCCCTGGGCCACACCCCCTTCTGTTCCAAGCCATGCCCCTTTGCTCAAGGTCATCCCTGTCCATCCCTCCAGGCCATGCCCCCAGGCTCATAACCATGCCTGCTGTGCTCTAAGCCACGCCCCTGTACCTCAGAGCCACGCCCCTGTATGGGGCAACGCCCCCTTGGTTCTAAGCCATGCCCGCTGCCCAGAACACCCCTCCCAGTTATGGCCCCTCACTCCCAACCTGCACCCCCTCCCCGCCCCGGCCCCGCCGGTGCCCCTCACTCCCGCTCCTGCCCCGGCAGGTATGTCCACTACGTGTTCGACCTGGGCAATGGGCCGTCGCTGATGAAGGGGAACTCGGACAAGCCGGTGAACGACAACCAGTGGCACAATGTGATCGTGTCGCGGGACACCAACAATGTGCACACGCTCAAGATCGACTCGCGCACGGTCACGCAGCACTCCAACGGCGCCCGCAACCTGGACCTCAAGGGTGAGCCACGGGCAGGGGGTGCCCGCAGGGCCCGTGGGAAGCTAAGCAGGTTCTGGGGGGGGTTGCTGTGTGGATGAGAGACTGTGCTCTGCTGGGTCCCCCTGGGAAGCCAAGCAGGGCTGGGGAAGGTTGGCATGTGGACAGGAGATCACGTAGAGCATGCTGATGCCCCCCTGCCCCCTGTCCCAGGCAGGCCTAGACACCATTTGGGTGCAGGGTCAAAGCCCAGATGGGAGACCATGTACGGTATCCCGAGGCTCTGGGCAGAGGGGGTGCCCAGATCCTGACTGTGCCGTGCCTGTGCCCCCAGGGGAGCTGTACATCGGGGGCCTGAGCAAGAACATGTTTCACAACCTGCCCAAGCTGGTGGCGTCGCGTGATGGCTTCCAGGGCTGCCTGGCCTCCGTGGACCTCAACGGGCGCCTCCCCGACCTGCTGGCTGACGCCCTGCACCGCATCGGCCAGGTGGAGCGCGGCTGTGACGGTGAGGCCGCGCCCAGACGCCGGGGCTCCCCCAAACTCACGGCGGGCAGGGGGCCCGGACGCCTGGCTTCACTCCAGCGCCGGGAGGGGAGTGGGGCTGGGGGCCTAGAGCATGGGGCTGGGAGCCTGGATGCCGGGGTGCTCTCCCTGCTCTGCTCCCCCTGGTGCTGGGGGTGGAGGCCCCTATAACCTCCCCCCGGCCCCCTCTCCACCCCCCAGGCCCCAGCACGACGTGCACCGAGGATTCGTGCGCCAACCAGGGCGTCTGCCTGCAGCAGTGGGATGGCTACACGTGCGACTGCACTATGACCTCGTACGGCGGCCCCGTGTGCAACGACCGTGAGTGCTGGCATACACGTGGGCTGCTGGGGGAGGACGACATAGGGTACACGGAGGAGGGTGGGGCGAGCTGGGTGTCCAGATGGGGCAGGGTCTTGCCAGGCCAAGAGTGAATGCGTGGGCACAGAAAGTGTGTCAGCCTGCTCAGAGCCCCAGGCCGAGCAGGGGACACCGTGGTGCTGGGTGAGTGTGTCACGTGAGCCTGCCAGTGCAGGCGTAAGTGTGTGAGGGGAGGGTTGGAGGGGCACAGAAATGAGCCATCCAGGACTTTGCACACACAAGCATGAAAATGGCCAGGGGCGGGGAGCCTTGCACCAGGGTGTGCAAAACTGGGTGGAAGGTGAGGCAGCATGTTGCATCTCACACTTGCACACGAAGAGGAAGTGACCTGGCACATTGCACAATACCATGTGCACACATAGCTGGGGGTCATTTACTATCAGTATGAGGCCATGGAAAGCAAAGCAGGCCAGGGCACGCTGCACTTGTGAACCACCTGGTGGCCTTCACCATCAGTGCAAGGCCATGAAACTGGAGCTGGTGCACGACGGCGTACACAAAGGGCTGTTCACTATCAGTGTGAGGCTGAGCTCCAGACCAGAGCACAATTGTACATGCACAAGTGGCCAGGTGTTGTCCACATCGTTCACTATTAGAACGGACGAACCACATGGTGTAGTTCACTATCAGTGCAAGGCTGTGAAATCCAGACCAAGGCACAGTTGTACACGCTAGCAGCTGGGCATTGTTCACGATCAGGGTGAGACCATGAAACCAGTGTGTGGCACAACTATGTACAGGAGGGGCATGTCACTCACTATCAATTGAAGGCCATGGAAAGCAGACCAGGGCACAGCCGTAGACATGAACCACCTGGCAGCGTTCGCTATTGGTGCGAGGCCGTGAAACCAGAGTGTGGCACAACTATGTACATGAGAAGCTTGGCGTAGGTCACTATTAGGGCAGCCGTGTGAAAACCACATGACCTGGTGTCTGTGTGAGGTGGGGGCACCAGACTGACACACTGGTGTGTCTGGGCCTGGTGCGATTCAGATCGCGTGCAGAGGCATGAATCATGTGCTAGCTTGGCCACACGTGAGGAGCCTGGCACCACTCACCAACCTGGCACGAGGGCCCCAGTACCATTGGCTGTGTGTGCAAGGGCATGGAGCCTGGGGGGGCCGAGGGAGGGTAAATGAACGTGAGCATTGGTGTGAGCCGTACAAGGGTGCGGAGCCACAGGCTGAGCGGGGGGACACGATGCCAGAGGGGTCTGTCTGGGAGGGGAAGGGGCTGGGTGGTGAGAGCAGGAGGGGCTGAGCGCCTGGGTTCTCCTCCCAGCCCCGTGGTGGGTCTGGCCCCCTGAACCAGCCTG